TTTTAGTCTAATTAACCAGATGTACATTTTGGAAAAATCACTAGTATGAAAAATTAAGAAAATACTTTCAGCAGTTAGAAAATGAATAAAATGGTAAGGCTGAAGATAAGGAAATCAGAAGATAAGGAAATCAGAAGATACAATGCTAAATATCTGAATTAATGCTCCTGGAATGGAGAATGAAAGAGCCAAGAAGTATCTAGAGGGACAGATTTGGTAACCAACTAGATGTGGGAATGTTAAAGGTTTCCAAGTTCTCTACCTTCAGGACCAAGTAGATGATGATGTCATTAACTGAGTAAGAAAGGTAAAAAATAGCAGGGTTCTTGTTTACTTGCCTTGGAGAGACAACATAAAGAGATGATCAAGTTAGCTTTACATGTGTTAAATTTGAATTGCCTGAGACAAACAAGTGAAAACTAGATCTAAAGTTAAGAAATTAAACTAATCTACGTTTAGGAATCATCAGCCTATAGACAGATTAATAGTTTAAAACTGAGAGCATGAATGAGATACAACAGATTTATATTAAAAAAATAAAAAGGCAGAAACAAAACCCTATGGAAAAAAATCTAAGGAATAGCAGGGAGGGAAAGGTAAACAACAACAACAACAAAAAACAGAAAAGTAGCTGGAGAACTAAGAGACTGTGGTATCAAATAAATTAAAAGATATGATTGAGACCAACAGTGTTAATTAAATATTAACAGAAAAGCAAAACAAAGACTAAGAAATCAGTGGATTGGCAATTAGGGGGTCACCTATAATCATATTAGGAATAGTTTCAAGAGTAAAGAAGCCAAAGTTAGACTGTAATAGAATAAGAAATAAAGTGATGGTCAGAAAATGGAGAAACAGTCTTAAGAATCTTGGTTTGAATAAATAAGATAGAAACAGAACAGAATCGAGGGAGGATATAATTTATTTTTAAGAAAATGGGACTTTATAAATCAAAAAGAATCATTAAAAAGAGGTTAAAAAAACACTGTAGAGTAGAATAATAAAAGTTAATCCAACTCTTGAGAAAGTAGGAGGGAAGGGGATTTAAAGCACAAGTATCTTGGCCAGGAGGAATGATAGCTCCCTTCTAAGATGGAGGAAGAATATAGAAATTTATAACAGGGAGGTTAAGAACACAGAGCTGAAAAGTTCCTGCCTAATATATATTTTCCCCCCATAAAGTAAAAGGCAGATCACCTGGTGAGAAAATATTTTGCATACTAGAATTTGTCTATCATTTTTATGAAAATTCTAATCAATTTTTCCCCTGAAAACATTCAGAGGACATCATAACACTAATTCTTAGCCTGCCCTCCAGTCTTTCCACATACTAGCAATAACATTATATCTCAATAATTAAAAACTAAACTAAGGCACATAACACTCTAAAAAAGAAGGTGAAGCCTAAAACTAGGGGTTCCTGGTACATAACGCTTAACGTATGAAATTAACAATTGTAATACATCATTGGTAGTCCAATAATCTGATTCTACAAGAAAAGAAGTGTTAGAAGACATAGCATCACCCAACACCTCACCAAAACATTTTATCAATGTCAAGCCTTGGGAATTGTAAGTAATGTACATATCAGAGAACTTCAGAATCAAAAAGAAGAGAAAAACTGGAAAACATAAGATATTAGCATTCATAATACATAGTGAAAAACAAAACTGAAGTATCCATTAACCTGAAACTAATATAATGTTGTGTCAACTATAACTGAAAAATAAAAAATTATTAAAAAAAAAGTGAAATAAATAAAGTGAAGTTATCAACAACTGGGGTGGACCAGCTACAACAACAGTATCTAAAGTTTCCTAAGGATGTCCTGATGTCCCTCTAAAACCATGTGCACATATCCAAAACATGTGAAAGACACAAAATAGAATGGAAAACAGACAGCATAACACTCTAATGTAACATTCTAATTCAAACTCTGTAACACTTAAATATGAGATAAAATTATCTGATCCTCTAACAGTAGAGAGGGATCAAAGTACATAAACTCTTTGAGTACTCATACTTTGAGACAAAAGAAATCTATTCCAGTCAAATTCCTTATTTACAAATATTTTTTTAAATGAAGGCTTCCAAGGCCGAGTAATTTTGCCAATGGGCTATGTCTCAGTTCTTCAACTTTCAAAACAGTATTGTTAGAATCGCCAAGTCACTAAATTTTTTTTTAGACATCAGTTTCAAAATTCTGGCAGCTTCCATCATAGAGGGACTTAAGTTATAGAATATAAATAAAAGGAAGTATCTTAAAATCACCACACTGGCTTGCAATGTGAAGAGACATGAGATTAGAATTTGTCCCTCCTACCCTGACCCCTCCCCACCACACACATTTATACATATTTCCAACATAAAGAGAAAAAGCAAGCAAACTTTACCATCTTGAGTAGCTAAGTATGTATACATAGATTACTAAGCAACTAGAGGAAATGACTTTCCAAAGGCCTTAACTATACAGGGAGATTTACAAAGTGTTGTGGGTATTTAAGTTGTTTTCTGAATCATAACGAACGAAAGCAAGTCTATTTATCTATCTCAAGACTCAATTACAAGTTTAGTAGCCAGAGAATGCAAAAAGATTTGTGTATAATAAAATAAATGGAGTCACGTAGGAAAGCTGGCATTATACATACTAATACTCTCTCTCCTTCCTTCATCCTCTTTTATAATTGCCTCCTTCTTCTGATGCTCCTGAGCGATCTGGCCAGAATTCTCTTTGTCACTTGAAGGAGAATCACAGGCACCATCAGATTTCTTCTCAGTGGCCTCTTCATCCACTTTCTCCAAAGGATGAATCTTCACAATCCTCACCTTGAGCATTTTTTCCTTCCCAACCTATAAAGGAAACAGGAGAGAGAATCAGAGATAATAAAAGAACTAGAAATCTAAAGATAATACTTACAATATATTATTCAATATACATTCCACCTTACCTGACAAAAATTCACTTAAACTCGAAAGTAGCCAAGTATAGCGATTTTTCCAATTTTATTTCCCAGACTTCTAGGTTAAAATGTGACATCTTAAAAGAATAAAATGACCACAATCTAGTTCATAATTCATGTACCAATGTACTAAGCCCAATGGGCAATCACTGCACAAACTTCAGAGCTGTGATTACAGTTCAAGAATTTCTACTTTATAAAATACCAATGATACATAGAGATATCCAATTATTCGGGCGCCACCTACTGAAAAGACTATCTTTACTTCACTTAATTATCTTTCCACCTCTACCAAAAAACAGTAGTGTGCATGTATGTGTATATGTATGTACGTAAATATGTAGGTCTATTTCTGGATGCTATTCCATTCCACTGATCTATTTGTCTACCTTTACACCAATTTCACACCATCTTAATACTTTAAAATTTAAAAGCGCTAAATCAGATAGTATTAGGTCTCTAACTCTGTTGTTCTGCAAAGTTGTTTTGTATAGATTCTTTGCATTTCCAAATAAATTTTATAATCAGCTTGGCAACTGCTACAAAAAAGTTGCTGAGATTTTATTGCAATTGTACTGAATACGAGAACTGACATGTTAATATTAATTTTTCTTACTCATGAACAAGTGCTCTCTCTCCATTATTTACAGTCTTCTTTAATTTCTCTTAGCAATGGTTTATAATTTTTAGGTAGAAGTCATGTATGTCTTTTGTCAGAGTTACTCCCAGAGTAGTTCATATTTTTTAATGTTATTGAAATAGTATTGCTTTTTTAAAATTTCAATTTCCAACTGTGTTACTAACATGTAGAGATACAAATTGGTTTTTGTATATTTATCTTGTATCTTGCTACTTTGCTAAACTCATTTATTAGTTCTGGCAGCTTTTATGATTCCATAAGAATTGCTAGACAGACAATCATGTCTAGAATAAAGATAATTTTACTTCTTGTTTTCCAATTTGGATGACTTTTCTTTTTCTTAACATACTACACTAGCTAGAAACTCCAATACAGTGTTAAATAGAGTGAAAGAGAAGACATTTAATCTTTTACCATTAGGTATGATGTTAGCTGCAAGTTATTCTGTAAATATCCTCTATAATAAGGTCGAATGAGTTTCCTTCTATTGGCAGTTTGCTGAGAATTATTAGGAATTGATATTGGATTTTCTCAAATGCTTTTTGTGTAAACTGAGATGATCATGTGGTTTTTATTTATCAATAAGAATTACAAATTTAAAACCACCTCATATTCCTAGGATAAACCCTATTAGCTCATAATGTATTAACCTTTTTAATGTAGTGTTGCATTTCATTTGCTAAAATTCTGATTAGAATGTCTACGTCTACGTTCATAAAGGTGTTCTCGGAACACAGATGTTTTTTTCTTACTATGTAGTTTTTTCTTGTAACGTGTTTATGTGGTTTTGGTGTCAGTGTAATGCTGACCTCATAAAATGAATCACAAAGAATTCTGTCCTCTTCTATTTTCTGGAAGAGTTTGTATAGAACTGGTATTATTTCTTCCTTAAATATTTGGTAGCATTCACCAGTGGAGGATTAACTAGACCTACAAATTGGCACCTGACATGAGGTTTTTTATCTCCTTGCCTTGGGTAGTGGTCATATATTTAAGCCATTTGGACAAGGAATCTTTCAAGGCCAATTATTCAGCTGTTCCCTGTTGACTGAACTAGCTATTAGTTGCCAAGGGCAGACTAGCCAGGTTGATGGGTTTGTAAGAAAAATGTGTTTACATCTGTGTACATTTCTCAATTTGTTTGTCTCTGTATTTTCCTCATGTCTGTGTATGTCTGTTTTCTTTTTTCTCTTTGCCTCTTGTGTTTATTTGGTGGGCTCGTGAATATTGAGTGTGTCTGTGTCCATTTGTATATGTCTACATGTGTGAGATTGTCTATCTATGATCACATCAACCTTGTGAAAATAAAACCCTTATCCAAAATAGGAAAATAGTAACCCTCCCTACTTCCTTTTTAAGCAACTCACTTGTTTTGCATCTTCCTTTTTTAAAATTCCCATTCCCCTACCCCCTCTCTTTTGACAACCATCAGCTTGTTCTCTTTATCTATGGGTCTGTTTTTTCTTTTTTTTGTTTTTAGAGTCCACATATAAGTGAGATCACACGGTATTTGTCTTTCTCTGTCTCATTTATTTCACTTAGCATAATACTCTCTATGTCCTTCTATGGTGTTTGCAAATGGCAAGATTTCATTTTTAATTGCTGAATAATATTCATTCCATTGTATATATTTACCATATCATCTTTATCCATTCATCTATTGATGGACATGTAAATTGCTTCCATTCATCATCTACTAATAGATGTATAGGTTGCTTCCATATCTTGGCTATTTCTAGTAATACAGCAATGAACATGGGGTGCATATATCCTTATGAATTATTTTGTTTTCTTTGGATAAATACCCAGAAATGTAATTGCTAGATTGTATGGCAGCTCTATTTTTAATTTTTGAGGAATCTCCATACTGTTTTCCATAGTGGCTACACTAATTTATAATCCCACCAACGGTGTATGAGGGTTCACTTTTCTCCACATCATCACCAATACTTATTTGTTGATTCACTGATGATACCCGTTTTGACAGGCATGAGGTAATATCTTATTGTGGTTTTAATTTGCATTTCCCTGATGATTCGTGATATTGAGCATCTCTTCACGTCTGTTGGCCATCTGCATGTCCTTTTGGGAGAAATGTCTGTTTAGTCCTCTGCCCATTTTTTAATTGGACTGCTTGGGCTTTGATGTTGTCTATTTTGTATATACAAAATATATCTTTGTATATTTTGAGTATTAACCCTTTTATCAATGTATCATTTGCAAATACCTTCTCCCATTCAATAGACTGTCTTTCCATTTTGTTGTTTCCTTTGCTGTGCAAAAACTTTAGTTTGATGTAGTCCTATTTTATTTGTTTCCCTTGTTCGAGGAGATATATCCAAAAAGATATTGCTAAGAATGAGGTCAAAAAAGTTTACTGCCTTTGTTATCTTCCAAGAGTTTTACTATTTCAGGTCTAACATTTAAGTCTTTAGTCCACTTTGAGTTTACTTTTGTATATGGTAAAAAATGGTCCAATTTCATTTTTTTTGCATGTATCTGTCGAGTTTTGCCAATACCATTTATTGAACAGACTGTCTTTATACAACTGTAGATCCTTGCCTCTTCTGTTACTGTAGATTAACTGACCATATAAGTGAGGATTTTTCTGGGCTCTCTATCCTATTCCATTGATCTATGCATCTGTTTTTCTGCCAGTACCACACTACTTTAATTATTATAGCTTTGTAGTATACTTTGCTATCAGGGAGCATGAGTCCCACTTTGTTCTCTCTTAAGATTTCTTTGGCTATCAGGGGTCTTTTGCATTTTAGGATTAGTTTTTCTCATTGAGAAGAATGTCACTGACATTTTAATAGGGATTGCATTGAATAGGTATATATATATAACTTTAGGTAGTAAGAACATTTTAACAATATTAATACTTCCAATCCATGAGACAGGATATCCTTTCATTTAGCTACATCCTGTTTAATTTTTTTCCTCAATATCTTACCATTTTCAGTGTGCAGGTTTTTCACCTTTTTGATTAAATTTATTCCTAGGTATTTTATACATTATGATGTAATTGTAAATGGGATTGCTTTTCAATTTTTTCTGAATGATCATTATTGGTGTATAAAAACATGGATTTTCTGTATATTGATTCTGTATCCTGCAACTTCACTGAAATCATTTACAAGTTCTAATAGTTTTCTGGTGGCCTTTAGGGAGTTTTCCATATATAGTATCATTTCATCTGCAAATAATAAGAGTTTTACCGCTTCCTTTCCAATTTAGATGCTTTTTATCTTTTTCTCTTGTCTGATTGCTGTGGCTAGAACTTCCATTACTATGTTGAACAGAAATCGTGATAGCAGGTATCCTTGTCTTGTTCCTTATCTTTGGGACAAGATTTCCAGCTTTTCACCATTGATAGTAACTGAAGGTTTGTCATATATGGCCTTTATTATGTTGAAATATGTTCCTTCTAAACCTGTTTTGAGTTTTTATCATAAAAGGATGCTGATTTTGTCAAATGCTTTTTCTGCACATATTGAGATCATATGGTTTTTATACTTTACTGTGTTAATGTGATATATCACATTGATTGATTTATGGATGGTGGACCACCCTTGCACCCCTGGGATGAATCTCATTTGGTCACGGTGTAAAATCTCTTTAACGCATTGCTGAACCCGGTTTGCTGACACTTTGTTGAGAATTTTTACATCTATGTTCATCAAGGATACTGGCCTGTAATTTCTCTTTTTTGTAATGTCTTTATCTGGTTTTGGTATCAGGGTAATGCTGACTTCATAAAATGAGTTTGGAAGTGTTCCTTCCATTTTATTTTTTGAAATAACTTTAAAAATAAGTGATTTTATTTAGACTAAAGTTTGAAAAGTACCGGCTACTGTTATTTAGGTCTTCCATCGCATACAGCTGAAATCACTCATAACTCATATGAGTTAACAATGTAAACAACCTATTTAAATATTTGAGCCTGTTTCCTATCTCAACGTTTCTGTGCAGATTCTGCAAGACATTATATTATGTAGAATGATTAGCCCAGTGTCCAGTAAATACAGGTATTTAACAAATTTGAGTTCCCTTCCTCCACATTCTTACTTTAAGCTTTCAAAGGATTATACAGAGATTGCTTTAGTGTTATTAAGTAAGCTTTAGTGTTATCACTTTAGTAAGTTATCCTTGAGCTATCTGAGCTAGAAAATTAAATAACAAATTTAAGTTGGAAAAGAAAAAAGTTAACTCATCCACTACTGTAGTGAAATGAGATTGCTTGCATGTTGGTACCACAGATTTCCGAAAGTCTTTTAAACACAGTATAAAAGAAATTACAAAAAATAATAATAAAAGCCAAGATAGCATAAAAGGGATAACACAAAGAAAACAAGAGTACAATGGTACACAGTGTAACGATTATAAAATTAAACATTTCTAATAATATGGTTCTAAAATGTGGTTCTTACATTTGATATGAAGTAAAGCAAACTTCATGTTAATACAATTTTATAAACACAAAAATGCATTTTATAATCTGTACTAGACACTTCACTCGTGACATATGGTTAGTGAGTCAAATCACATTTAAAAAAATAAAAAGACGACGCTTACCTCAAAGTCACACTCTTCTCCCACGGCATATTTGGTCATGATCTCCAACCAAGCAGTATCTACTAACTTTTCTAAAGAGGCTGTGTTATGGTGAACCATTTCCAGAACAAGTTTCTCATACCAGGCAGGAAACTCTTCCTTCAAACTAAACAAGTATGTTATTAATTGCCAAGAAAATGCAGAAAAACCTATCCAGATCTTTAATTCAGGTCAATTCAAACATTTCTTTAGCAAATATACGCAAGACATTGGGGAATAAAGATTAAAAACCACATGGTACACAGGAAAAAGAAAGAACTTTTAAGTAGCTATGTCAGACTGACCTATCCAGGTTAATTTCCTCATCTATAAAATGAAAAAAATAGGGATATCATTAATAAGGTTGATTATTTTCCCAAGTTTGTTTTTACAGTAGATTCCCTTTTTAGGTGTGAATTATTTTTTCCATAGCCTTTTCCTAGTTTTTGGTTAGGACACCGCAATAATTATATGTTATTTCTCAATCAATAATATGCTTTAATATATATTCATTCAGTTCTCATAATACCTTATGAGGTACCTAGAATTTTCATTTTATGGATAAGGAAAATACATCAAGAGTTAACATGTTGGAACCATGACTTGAACTCCAAAGCCCTTGCAAAGTAAAACTATGATGTACCACTTTTCCCTTATTAAACTAGCAAAAAAGAATTTCAATCATATACAATATGGGCAAGTGAATAGTGCAAAATAACACTCATACACTGCTGTTAGCCTATGTTTCAACTCTTGGAAAGCAGTTTGACAACAATTATCAAAAACTGTCATACATGCACAAAGATTTTCACTGCTGGATTCTTGATGGTAGCAGAAAACAGGAACCAACCTAAATGATTAGTTGTTAGATATTCATTTCTGACCAGAGTATAACATTTGTGCTGTGGGCGAAGGGGAGCATCGGGCATAAGAATTCACGTAAATGCAAGTATTAGGCTCATTGTTGTATTACAATATTTTCAATCGTTTTCTGTACTGTTTATAACTACAAATGTTCCACTAACTGACTGCTAGACTGAAAATCTCTTATCATACTCCTTACAATTAACCCACTGAGTTATCTATTCGCTAATCACAATCCATAAGCTTCTCATTTCCCTGCCTTTGTTAAGGCTGTTACCTTTGTTCTCTCTCCACTGTCCTCCCTTATAGCTTGATCATCCTTCCGAGATGTCCTCAGACTTCCTCAATTTCATAAGGCCTTTCTTGGCCCCTATTAACTCACTCTCTTCTCATTAAACCCTACAGTCACTCAGCTTAAATTTCATTGTTATTTCTGAGTGAGACTGGACAATGATGTTCAGATTCTTTTATTAACTCTGTATTATTTATATTCTTAAAATAGAAAAAGATTTCTACTTCGAATAAAAATTGTAAAACTTGTCTTTTTCAGTAATTCCTCCCATTGCCCCCTATATTTTGTTAGCTATCAAATCACATAAAACATTCCCCAAGTGTGTTCTTCAGAACTTCACTTTGATGTAATCAATTCTGAGGTCAATTCAATTCGAAACACACAAGATTAAACCAAGCTTAAGTTCCTTTCCTACAGGTCTTCTGAAAATCTTTAATATGTTAATGCTATGGCTTTTCAAAAACAAAGTATGTAGTGGTTTTCCAAAGTTATAGCCGAAACCCTCTTTTCAGGAAGAATTAAGAGAATCCATCTCATTCTTTCTATTCTCAATAATGCAATGACTCACTACCTAAACACTATGCTAGCTAGCCTACAGACTTCACACCTGCCTCTTCTCTAACTCATCCTACACACTGCTTCCAGATTAAACTTCTCAAAGCCCAAATTCGATCATCACTGTACCATATGTATCTTTTCTGTTCGAAAATTATTGCCGTCTTCACACGGTTCACTGAATACAAATGTCTCATCTTGTCTTCAAACATCACCGTCTTCATGAACTTTTCTATAACAACTCCAGGTAAGTTTCTTTTATTCCCAAAAACACACCCAGAGAAAGTAGCACTATCTCTATTTGCAAAGAGCAAACAGTATGTGCTTATATATAGTGCAGAGGACTGTGCTTAGGTACAGTAACCAATTCAAGAATAAGTAAAATATGAGGCTGGCCCTCAAGAAGTTTACAGGCTAATACAGGAGGCAGCAACAGCCCATGGGCCAAATCTAGCCTGCTATCGGTTTTTGTAAATAAAATTTTATTAGAAGCAGTCACTTGTTTATATATTATCTATGGCTGTTTTTACTGTACAACCTGAATTAAAAGTTGAGACAAAGACCATGAAGCCCATAAACCCTAAAATATTTAGTAAATGGCACTTTACAAAAAAGGTTGGCCAACCCCTGGCCTAGTACACTAAATAAGCGATATACATAAATACACTAATCAAAAACGGAATGATGTAAGTCAGTGGTCCCCAACCTTTTTGGCACCAGGGACTGGTACTCCCATGAGAATCTAATGCCTGATGATCTGAGGTGAAGCTGAGGCAGTGATGCTAGCGCTGGGGAACGGCTGCAAATACAAATGAAGTTTCACTAGCTCAATCGCTGCTCATCTCCTGCTGTGAGGCCAAGTTCCTAACAGGCCACTGACCCAGCATTGGTTCTTGGCCCGGGGTTTGGGGACCCCTGATATAAGTGACTCAAGCAAAGGAGAAACAGGTGCCGGCCAGGTTAACAGATTTTAGTAATTATCAGTCAATGATGGACCCATGACTAGAAACCAGGTCTCAACTGAACCCAGTACTCTATTATACCAACAAAAGAGCAGAATAGTATTAGATTACTAAACTGTATGCTCTCTGCTTGTCTGATATCAAGAGAAACCAATAAGAAGTCCATAGAAGAAGCTTCTATTCCAAATTACCAAGAGTGGTTTTATCATCTCTAGTTTTTGTTATCTTTTACATGTACCAAGTGCCCAAATTCTGAGTGTTTTCTTTGAGAAAAGACCCAGATAAGTAGGCACTTTGAATACAGACAGGATTTTTATTTTAAGACATCTCATTCAACCAGCCCACTTAAATGGTCTTCAAATTGTGTATTTATTTTTGATAGCTGCTGTAAATACTGTCTTAAACTTCAAAGAATCACAAAATAAAACTTTCTGCTCATCTGCTGCCTCCAAATTACTTCTAGATCATATTTACTTCCATTGCTTAGAACCAAATTTCCAGAATACTAATAAGGTAAAAGTACAGAGCAAGAACATTCAAGAGCCTGGTAAATATCTAAATATACACACAACTACATTTCCACACAATTTGTTACTAGCAAAATGCCACTAGGCAAAGGCACTCAGACACCATTATATAATATAATGTATTTCAACTGATGCCCCATAAATTTAAATACAAATATTGCTTTACAGTTACTATTCCCCCTTTCCTAATAATATGAAGATGGTGCTAGAAGAGCAATGCTTCTCTTACTTACAGTTCAGCAACTTCCTGTTCCTCCTCCCAGGCCTCCTTGTGTGTTAGCTGACTACTTCCGGTACTCTTACATGTCCAAATGCGCTCACTGTACCTTTCCAAGCGAGCTTCATATTCTCTGTTAGCAGTAGCTCAGGAAAACAATATTCAAGCAACAGAGATTTCTAATCCATATCCATAAAATACTTACCATATATAGAAAAAAACCTATAATATCCTTTCTATGATGTATAGCATGAGAAGATAAAATCAGTTTTTAATTGGCAAATCCAAAAAAGATGATTAAGACTAAACTTTGATTAGAATGGTTTGTCATGTTTTACAAATAAAATATTAATATTTTAGTATAAATGTGATTTCTTCAATTCACCCGAGTTACATTTCAAAAGACAGTACTAAAAATTCATAAGAAAAAATAAAGGCAAAATAAGACCTAAGTCTTAAGGAATAAGAATTTAAGGTATGTGGAATTGTTACACAACTCAGATGGTTAGCAAGTCTAAAACTCAGTTCCACAGTAAGATGAGATGACCAGTCCAGTCTCACATGCAGTTTGAAATAAACCTGATGTACCTGCTAATGATCCATTTACTAAAAGCCTTCCAGTCTACCTTAGAAACACCTGTTGATTCATTAGTGGGGTTTAAAAAAAATCCATAAAGTCCTAAAAATAATTTTGATATATTTATCCAGCCTTTACAATAATAATACATTCACAAGTTATTTACTAGCTGTTGTTCCTGAAAGAGGAGGAGGAAGAGAACATCATAAATTAGTGCCATATACATGGTAACTTTCCACAACATCCCAACTGGAATTCACTATCAGCCAGCCACATTCGAATTCAAATGACAAGTAACTAATTTACTTTTAGCATAGCAACAGATGCTATGCAATAAAATAAACTGACACCACAACTAGAGAATTAGCTGCCAATCTCTGTACTTTCCAAGTGATACTTTTTATACTGGTTGAAATAACAGTATTTAAACAGCTCCCCTCCATAATATTACTTCACAATAATTCATTTTTAACACATGGAGATTGTTGGTTTTCTAGGGTTATGATCAGTGAAAAACAGAACAGAGACGAAAATAGTTTTAGCCAACAGTAAAATCAACTTTCCTCACTACATCATTCTCTGGATCTAATAAAAACAATGCAATAAGTCTATTTTCTTCATCAAAGAAGGTGTTAAAATTTAAAAGATTAAACAAAATAGAGTTAACAGTAAAAATCAGGAGTCAGACTTCCATATAAAGCTATGTAAAACCAATTATTGATAATTTATAAAAATCTATATGGTCCCCCTTATCTGCAGTTTCGCCTTCCAGTTTGTCATCCAATCAAATGTGGTCCGAAAATATTAAATGGAAAATTGCAGAAATAATTTATTGTTTTAAATTGCACGCCATTCTTAGTGTAATGAAATTTCGTTCCATCCCGCTCCCTGAATCATCTCTTTGTCCAGAGTATCCAGTTGTATAAGATGCCCACCCTTTAGTCACTTAGTAGCCATCTGTTATCAGATTGACTGTCTGGTTGTTGAAGTGCTGTGTTCAAGTAACTTTTACTCTATTTAATAATGGCCCCAAAGTGCAAGAGAAGTGTTGCTAGCAATTCGAATATGCCAAAGAGAAGCCTTAAACTTTATCACAGATATGTATGTATAAGAAAAAACATATATAGAGTTCAGTAATATTTCAATATTTCGGTACTATTTCAAGGCATCCACCCACTGAAGGTCTTAGAATGAATCCCCTGCGGATGGGGGGAGGGAAGGCTACTGTATAGAGAGAAAAAGAACTAGTGTGGCTTCCATTATCCTAACTAACCAATCAACAAGATGGATTTGCCTCTAAATCCTATTTCAGATTTTAGATTACCAAAATAAGTTGCTCACTCTCAAATAACCACTCAGAGCAAATGCTAATTGAGGTTTTTATGTTCCAGCCACTGCGGCACATATAACTGCGGACAAAATGTCAAAGCAATTCTCCAAAGGTTGTGTAAGCTATAAATGATATTTTCAAATCCTAGACTATCTCATCAGGTATCTACTTTTTCATTAGTTCAGGAGCTACCTCTTCACCACAAAATGATACTTCTTTATTCTCGTTAGCCTTGTAAGGACCGTTTCTTTCAATAAAGTACTTGATAGCCTCAAAGAAAGTAGCCCATGAAAAGTATGGAGGTTAAATAAGCACAACTATAACCCTAAGAGTTCTAAGTGAGATGACAAAGTGCCAAAACAAGATTTGCTTTTTATCCTATTTTCTCTCTTTGGACCAGTTTGTCGTTAAGTTAAAAATAACTCTAATCTGGTATGACTTGTTACTTTAAAGATATCAAATTATAAAAATCACGTAAGAGCTCAGTATTCCAACGGCCCAATAAGATCCTGTCCTGCAACCACAACTTTACTTGACTCTTTAAATGTGCTCTAGTCATGTTTTCCTAGGCAAGTCAAATAATTCTGGCCATATTCTAATAGCCCCTCCTCATTACACCAGCTAAAAGTTCTCAAATATTGATGCCATAAAGATTATGAACTAGTTAGGCTTTAGAAATGAGAATAAAGTAATACGACAAAAATATTAATCTTCAACAGGCTGCTTGTAGGTTCAGTTCCTCCTTACAACCCCTCTTGACTTAGTGTTATCACCTTATTGTCAAATAATCACATCAAGAATTGATTCCAATAAATTTTTCCAACTAAGTTCTAGTGTCTTGCCTGTAGTACTACCCGAGTAATGTACCAGATTCAAAGACACATTACAATAAACAATCATCAATAATATAACACCCACTCATTAAATGTGTGCATGATTCACAATGACCACTATTAAGTTTAATGAAGATGTACAATGATGTTTCGAGAACATACCAATACTCACAGCTTTAAGTCAATAAAACATCATATAAATTTGCTACAGAATACACATACAGTCAAAAGGCAAGCATTAGAAGAAAATTAAAGTATCAAATCCTATTAAAAACATAATTGTAAATATAAATTAAGAACTGGAAATAACTACTTCAAATGCAGCTGTTACCCAATCACATATTTGTTTCCGTCTACGAAATCCCTAATAGTCTAATAAAGAAATATGCCAACCTACCAACCACACAATACAACTGTTTAAAAACCATCCTTAAAGTGCTTACAATTGTAGAAATTCCCAAGTGAGCAATTTCACCCCAATATATAACACAATTTAAGAACTCCTTTAAAAGGGTTCTAAATACTGGTATCGGAAATTTTTTAAATGAAGATTTTTATTAAATACATACCATTTTAGAAGTTTCAGTTTTCAACTGTAATCATTAAAGAGTAACTCCTAATACATATCATTATATTTCAATGATTTCAGTAAATATGAAAAAGCCTGTGCTGCCAGTTCAAAATTAGCTATCTACAGCCATTTTTGCCATGGTTCAGTACCCATCAGACTTAGAACCTGTCTGTTCTCTACTGCATGTTTCTTATGCTCCATTAGAACCAGACCTGAAAAATTAACACCTGATAATAGTGTGAGTAACCATCAACTGCTAAAACAAAATGACATCTGAATAACATTTTAAAAGGATATGGCAGATTCCCACGAGTAATTTTTTACTCCACCAATGTTTGGAATGTTATTTAAAAAAAAAAAAAGTAGGGCATCTTTAGAATAATGCTACATTTAGTAGAGCTAGTATACTTCTCCAGAGCAATCCAAAAGTCCTAACAGGACAAGGAAAAGAACCAATTACCACTCCCACCCCTCTCTTAAATACATGTTTACCTTATATCACAAACTGACACAAAAGTGGACTAGCATCAAAAGGAAGGAGGATCATTCCACCGTTCTTTTGATTTACTTACAGGGATGAGGTAGGAAAATTCTGAGGCACAGAATTCTAAGCCTGACTCCCATCATTTACAGTATGTGTGACCTTTAACAAGTCAACCTCAATTCTCTGGGCCCACCTGACAAATCAGACAGGAGAATCTGACCATCTAGATCAATTCAGCTCTGAGATGCTATAATCATATTTTAAGAGCCTTCTTACAGCACGGACTCACTTCCCAGGTCTCTTTGTATGTAAACATCCAACATTCACAAACTGCACTCAAACAAGAATGAGATTATTCTATAAAGTATTACATTAAAAGGAGAATCAAAGAGAAATTAAATGATATCGCTCACGTGGGCACTTCTCTATACAGAAGTTAACAGAAACCACAAGAAATCAAGTCCTTCCAAAGGGAAAGGGCTAAAATTATACATTAAGTAAAACTGAGTAATACATTAGCCTTCACTCTTGAAGTTTTCAGTACATTAAAGAAAGCTTGATTCAGAAACCATTTTTACGCTTAAGCTTCGAAAAGGACTCAACTGGCATCGATAAAAAAAGTAAATAAAAGTCGTACAACTTTTAACCGAGAGACTAATAACCTTATGCAAGAAACAATGATTAGAAGAGAGGATGCTGCGTATTTAAAACATTAGCCTGGTGCTTCTAAAATACAACATAAAAATCTTAAGTCTATCATGGTACCTATTTATTATTTTACTTACAATCAAAAACCAACCTCCTTCTAAATCGTCAAAACTTCAAACCTGAGCATGCCCAGGGAAGAAGGGCAGCAGCTCCTACAAGGTAACTGTTTTCCTTCCCTTTCCTTAAGTCTGGAAATTTATTCTTGGTTTTGTGCCTCACAATCCTGTCAGTTCATCACCAGCCTAAAGTCCACTCGGCAAGAGAAAAAACACAAATGCCCCCGCAGAGATCGGGGTACGACGCAGTCGAGACTTGTACAAGCCGATCACGAGGCCGCGCGGATACGATTTCAAAAACTTACGTTGAAGGTTTAATTTTAAAAGAAAAAAGCAAAGAAGATCCTGCTCCCCGTGGTTCTTAGGGCCTAAAGCCAACCCCGGGGGGGAGGGGGTCTCTTCTCAACAGCGAGGCCTGGGAACAAAGTGCGGAGCCGGGGAAAAGGATGGAGAGCGAGGGGCTCCGTAGCGCCCTGAGAGGGGCAGGCCCGCACCCCCGCCCGCTGGCCCCCCAGAACCGCGGGCTCGGGCTCAGAGTTCAGGCCCGCCGTCGCCGAGCACGCTGACATCTGCCACTGGCGCAGGGCAGCAAGGCCCACCGGCCCAGCGACCCCCAACCTACTATGCCCCACCCCGCGGGCGGCCAGGCTGGCGCCCCTAGAAAAGGATACTCCCGAGTGCGGAAGGCCTCCTGAGTGTGCGCGATGGTGAAGAGCGGCTCCTCGCCGGGAAGAGGCTTCACCAACGGGAAGGGCTTGCGGCCCAGGAGCGGCGCCATCGCGGTGGCGGCGGCTGCAAAGAAGGCGGCGGCAGCTGCTCGGCGAGCCCACGGCGCAACACTAGGCCCCGCGGCCCGGAGCGAGCGCCTGGCTCCCGGGGGTGGGATGGGGGAGGGGAGGGGTGAGAGGGCGGCGCGAAGTCGGCTCCCTCACTGCTGGCGCGGCCGCGCGAGGGCCATGGAACTGGACCTAAGGGCGCAGAACTCCTACGCACACCGCTGCTCCGCCTGGCAGCCTCCAGCCAACCTTCGCTACCAGTCCCCGCGTTCGGCAGTCACGACTCCTCAGCTGCACGGGAGGAAATTATTGAAAAATGGCGGGAGATTCCCCTCCACCCCCCCACCCGGCCAGCTCACACACTAACTTGCTCCCCTGTGGCGCCGGTGGCTAATGCTCCAATAGGCGGAGAGCTGGTCAGCGCTCACAGCCTATTGGCTCAAAGGAACTGCCGCTCTGCTCTTGGGTCCCGCCCCCTTCCCCGACCGCTTAGTTGGGTTGCAGCGCATCAGAGGGCAGTATGAAGAGGTGAAAGGTCACGTTATGTAAGCTGTGGTGACGGGCGTGCGGACTTCCAGAGGCGGAGTTGGTAGTGGGAAATAGCGGGGAACCGAAAAGCCGGGAATTCAAGGAGGTCAAGCCAGAGAAGCCCCTTAACATATACTGACACTGCGCCATCTGTCACTGACGGCGACACCGACATCCGGGCACCACTGTCCGTGTGGCGTGCCGGAGGGGGGAGGGGGAAGCGCGGCCAGGGGCTTTGTCTTTCCACTTCTGCTCCGCCCCCTCCTTAAAGGCGCCGCGCTCGGCCACGCCCGGGTAGATCGGATGGGAGAAGGGGTTGGCGGGAAGTAACCCCAAGACCTTGCCCAGGCAAAGGCCCTACTGAAGGGCAACTTGAACTCCAGCCTGTTCACCCCAAAGTTAACTTCTGGACGAGAGTGTGGTTGAGATCTTGATATTAGTATGGTGCTTGTTTCTAGGAGCTGACTGGAAAAGATAATATAGAAGCTTCTTGACAAAAATGTTAAAGGGCATCCATCTATTAAAGAGACTATTCCTTCAAATGGTCTTTACTAGCACCTACAATGTTAATAACCCTGTTAGGTGCTATAGGGGGAAAAAGACTGCCCTGAAAAAAATAAGACAACCAGTTCTATGAGACAAGTGCTGAACAAAGTGCACAGTAAATAGTGATAACTGCCTGGGTGAGGACATTTGAGCTGCTTCTCCAAGCTGACTGCACCCACATAGTCCAAAATCTGTTTGGGTATGCAATGCAATCAGAAACACATTCATAGTAATTCTCTCCCTACAAAAGTGTTTCCCTCAGTTCAAAGATCCTCAGTGGCACAAGAACATACTTTCTCAGCTTGTTCAACAGGGCTGGACTGCTAGATGTCCCTGAATGCAGTATGCCCATACCAGACGTTTTCTTCTTTTCTTCTCACCTTGTGGTGAGAAGTATACCCTCAGTAAAACAAGTTTTCGGTCAGAGGCCACCCCTATGGATACTCCTCTGATTACCTACCAGAGAAGGGAGCTTATCTTCCTTCAGGAGCCATTTCTTCTAACGATTAGGAGAAACCTCAGGAAATATGGCATTTGAGTTGATTGTAAAAAGATAAGTAGCACTTGACTAGGCACAAAAATGATAAACATAGGCAGAGGGAGCAGCAGGACAGACTTGGTAAATTCAGAACATGTGCCTAAAACAGGGGTTTTGAGGCAGAAAGTATCAAGAGACGGGAGTGGCAAAAGAAGTGATCACCCTGGGCACAGCATTTGATGGTTCAATTTAAGTGACCACTTTGAAGGAAACTGCAATAGTTTGTGGCAGTGATAGCAAGGGCCTCAAATGTAACAAGATCAGTGGAGACAGGCGGACAGATTTGAGAGGCACAGACTAGGTGACGAATGGGAGAGACATTTGCATGACTAGATAGCTAATAGAATACAAAAGTAAAGACTCTAAAAACATTAAGAAACAAATTTTAGGAAAATATTTGGTATTTCAAATAAAGCATCTAATGGCACATGAGAACAGTCACCATAATTGTTTAAGCTTTTGGGGCCAATATGGGCTGGAATCCAGCTCTGGTATTGGTAGAGATCTAGAATGAGAGAATCAGCGATAGGCTCAGTTTTAGCCATGAGAACCTGAGGCACCCTGGAGAGCCATCCAGAACATAATTGGAATTCTGAATCCCGAGTGGAAGCTGGAGGTAAAGCTTCGAGTGCACAGCTTATCAACTGGAGCCCCAAAATAAGGAGTTGATAAGGGCCTCCCCAAGTAAAGAACAGTGCTCACCTTGGAGAGGCGGAATTACTGGGTTGTTTTGGGGTTTTTTTATGTTTTTCAATTCATTTTCTGTAGTACTAGTTTTACAATATAAAAAATAAACTTTAATGTGACTCGCTTGGTGGATGTCCTCCATTTCTATGGCTCAAATTTACAAACAATCTGATTAACATAAGATTTTAACATCTTGTCCTGAACATGGGGAAAAAAATGGGAACTAAACTAAAGTAACTATCAATTTCCTGTTCTAATATTTTCATTGACTCCTGTTGCCAACAAAACCCTTGTGAGTTTACTCTGTCCAGTCTTTGAATGCCTAACTCTCAGCAAGCCCCAAGTAGACCACTTCCTCCTAATTCCCAGAATTCACTGTTTATTCTCCACTGCTGTAAGTATATTTCTTTCTCCTCTATGCATCTGAATTACATACTTTTCTTCCTAATGCCTTTTCACGATTGTTCCAGCCCACATTTGCTTTCACTGAACTCTCAAGGTTTTTTAAATCGTAATCTTAGCAAAATTTGTTGTTCAATGTGTTTTCTCTCCCAACATTTGAATAAACAATAATAAAGGGCAGAGATTAAAATGTGTGCTTCTACCGCTCAAAGTCAACTGTGATTGCTTAAATGCAGGAATGACACAATAGAAGCATAGCACATTTCCCTCTGCAGGTCTCCCCTGGGTAGTTTTATGACATGAGCTCAGTCAGCAGTGCCTGTTTTTGTGGTCTGTGTCATATGGAGCTATGCCCTGCCACACACCCAGCCTTCACTGATGCAGACACAGACCGTTGCTTAGAAAGTTCCAGCTTCTGGCTAGTCTTTTCCTGCCTGTCCTGTTGGTTCCTCAAACTCAAAACATCCCAAACCCACAATTTATTATCTTCTTCCCTCTACCATCTGCTCCATCTGGGTGTTTGTTTGTTTTTTTTTATTTCTATTAATGGCCTCACTTTCCTTACAACCTCACAGGTCCACAGCCATAGAATCAAACAGATCAGTAGTCCCCTCTTACGCCCAGGGAAACGTTCCAAGACCGCCAGTGGATGCCTGGAACTGTAGATAGCATCGAATCCTATATATGTGACAGGCAGAAAATTCTGAGGTCCTAAATTAAATTACAGCAAGCCTGGGGATGGAAGGAGACAACAGAGGTTAATCGGTTAACTGCAGGGGGCAAGACCAACAAAAGACTTCTTACATTCCTGAATGTATGTTGAAACTTTGGATTAACTTCTAGGTGGCTATTTCCTCCATTATCCCAAAAAGAATAGCTGAGTAGCTGACTACCAGGCAGTTGCACTTCTTGCTTATGCATGAACTGTAGACTGCTGCCCACAACCAATCCAAAGAGCAAACGCTTCTTCCTTACAGACTATGCACCTATCCCAGAACTAGTCCCACTTCACCTACCACCCCCTTTATCTATAACCAATGTAAATGCTTTTTAAAGCAATTTTTATCTTTATTTTCCAAATTGCATATAAGAGCTCAACAACTCCAGGAGGGTAGACATGTTGTCTTCAACTAGCCCTGCTGCTGGTGATTTAAACTTCATGCTCCAGGGCTTGGTTCTCTTTTTGGCTAGAATTTAGCTCAATAAACACCTTCTTTTAGAAAAGCTCTCTGTCATGAAAGTTTGTTTAACGTATCCTACATTTTTTTCCTAAACATGCATGTTTTCACTTAAAGGAAGCACTTTATGGCTTCTCTTTGGCATATCCAAATTGCCAGCATGACCACTCTAGAGCTTTGGGGCCATTGTTAAGTAAAATAAGGGTTACTGTGATTCTGCCAACAGTTGATCTGATAACAAAGATGGCTACAAAGTGACTAACAGACAGGCAACGTACATTGTGGAGACATTGGACAAAGGGATAATTTATGTCCTGAGCAGGACAAAGCAGGACGATGTGAGATTTCAAGACACTACGCCAAATAATGTGCAATTTAAAACTAATGAATTGTTTATTTCTAGAATTTTCCATCCAATATTTTCAGGCCACGGTTGCCATAGCGTAACTGAGACCATGGAAAGCAAAACCACAGATAATGGGGACTACTGTAACATCAATTCTACCTGCCTAAGATCTTGAACTATCACCTTCCTGCCATCCCCACAGCATCCTACTTCAGGCATTTATTATTTCTGGCCAAAACTACAACTATGACTTCTTTTCTTTAAAATATTTTAAACATTAAAATTATGTACTTTTCATGGCAAGATGAACATAGTTCTAAAATGGAAACACATAAGCAGTTTAAAAAAAAAAAAGTTCTACAAAAAGCAGCCCATGGCACTCTCTTCATCCACTTCCTGCTTCCCTAGGCAGCCATTTTCAATTTGTTAAGCTGTTTCCTCTGGTATTTTACCTCCATACTTCTAAATAACCTATGTAATGCTGTCTTAGTTTTTCTGTTTTAATATTAGCTGCTGACTTAATGTAAAATGAGGACTTAGCCCTTGTCCTCTCCTAAAAACACATGTACAAGAATATTCTCAAAATAATTATATTGCAGTCAAATCAAAATTCAGTGTATAACTTACAATTATGGATTATTCACAGGTGATCCACATGGTGAACTGATTACATTTCCTCTCTTCGTTTCCCCTGGTTTGCTTCAGTCTATTATTATTTCATTTTCTATGTACCTGTCACTGCTCACTCTGTCTCCAAACCGACAGAACTATAAGTCTCCTCTCAATATATACAAACATATCGGGTGGGCAAGGTCCTTCTAATATGTCCCCCTGCCTTCCTATTTCCTCTCCATCGTATCTTGCACACTATGTCACTCCTCTGTTCTTGGCTTCTAACAGTTGGTTCTCTAAGCTAACAGAGTAAAACCAAACTATCTGACCTGACCTTCAAGGCCCTGCACAATCTGCCCCCAATCTTTCTACATCTCTCCAACTCCTTACTCTTCAGCAAAACCAGGTTTATCTATTTTCTAAATACCATTTCCAACTAAAAGGATCCAGAGCTCCTTGGAAAAATGACTGGGGCTGGCAAAGTTCAAGTTGCAAG